TTTTTGACATTATTTATAATTCTTTGCCTGTTTAATTTTCCACCTCTACATTTATGAGTAACTATATGTCTAAATGATGCCTTCTGCACTAATTCAAGTAAATCAAAGGTTTTATGTAACTAGGATGAGAGTTGATAATGATAGGAAGGGAAATAAGGTTAAATTGATCATTTTAGGATCACCAAGTGTATTATTTCTTTTGCAACTTAGGATTACACTTTTAGTTCTTATACAATTCCTTTTGCAATCTACTTACATTTCGATACCAATATGAGAAATCTATTATATATGTTTTCTTTTTCTTTTTGTTTTAATATTATATATTTATTTCACAGGACAAATGAAAAAATATTTTGAAAGCAAGTGGTCTACTAATGGGAAACATGATATAGGTTACTTATCTTATTTTATATTCTATTATTTGAATGCCATTAATCTGTTTTTTTTTTCTTGTTTTATAAAGTATTTTAGTATGTTGATTATAAATGAATAGAAATTTTGTGCTAATCACAGAACGAGCAAAAGATATGTCAACAATGGTGTCCATTGATAAAATAAATATTAGCAAGGAGACATATAACCTGTTTTCTCCGAGTACAAAAGGTGTTGTTTTTGTTTGGTGGGATATTCTAGCACAAAATCAATTTTGGTAACCTGCAATGTATATGATATTTGATTTTTGTTAGAAAATCATTTAACTTTTTATTTATTGCAACCTGTTTTCTCTCTGGAGTACAAATGGTGATGTTTTTTTTTGGTGCGTGATTTGATCATTCAAGGAAACGAAAACAAAGAAGAATATAAGATTGTACTTTCATTGTTTTTTTAAAATCTATTCAAATATGACATTCTATTTCTTTTACTAACATGATTTATCGTTACATTTTCCACTCATCTAATTGATGGCGAATTCCACAGAATAACAACATACTCTAATGTGGAAACCAATTCATGCAATGTACTTCATTATTTGTCTCAGAAAACGAACACGTTCCGTCCTGCGCAACGCGCGGAGAACCCCCTCTAGTTTTATATGTATTTTTATATTTAAGTTCTATAATCACAAAAAACAAAAAAAAAACAAAAAATTAAACAAAACAAAACAAAAAAACAAAAAAAACAAAAACAAAAGATATCATTATGAACCATTTAATAGAAATTTTGGAAGAAATTTGAACAAATTCGATTAAGGTTTTCTTAGTAAAAATATTTTAATTCCACAACTGTAAGTGATAATTTTGCAGATGATTCATTATTATTTAAAATTTCTATATATTATACAAGTTATAATTTAATTTAAAGTATAAAAAAATAAAAGACATTTGATCTTAAAGCATTTAGAAAAGTTGACCGGGTTTTTCATAATAAATGCAAAACAAAAGAATTGTTTTTCACAATAACCTATTATATAACTACATAAAATTCAAATATATTTTTAAATCTTTAAAACTGTTGGAGATTGATATTTAATAAAGGGAAATATGTATAAAAATCCCTATATTTTTATTCTAATGATAAGAAAGTCAACAATAATTTTTTTTTGTGCAAGTAAATCATTAAATTTGACTATTACTTGCAATTTGGCTCAATTTTCAGGTTATCACAACCAATTGCTCGTTTTGATCGTTAAATTGTAAATAGGGATGACAAAAAATCCTATTACCAATGGGGAACTCGAAACACGTACCCATTTTGACTGGGGAATCCCGATAAAAAAGTGGGGATGGGGATATCTCTAATCCCCGACCTTGGATTCCCCCCCCCCTTTCCGATATATATTAATATATAAAAGTGATACAAAACATATATTTTCAGTACAATTTACAATACATACAATTTGATCCAAGTAGCATAACTCATTAGCAATTATTTTGTTGAAATTATATTTTTTCTTTTTCTTTTATCTAATTTAAACTTATATATAATTTTTTTCTATCTAGTTTATCTATTTTACCTCAAATATTACTATAATAATTTTTTTTACTTTATTTGTCATGTATTTATTTATATTTGGTAGAAAATTAGTTTATATTTTTTATCCAATTTATGACTATTTTTATATTTTTATAAATTATTTAAACTTATGCTGGTAAAATTGAAATTTAAAGTTTTTCTTTATATAAAAGTTTTCAAATTAAAAGAGAAAAAAAAAATCTTTGATTCCCCACTGGGGATCCCCAGTCTCCGTTGGGGGTGGAGATAGAGTTTTATTTATATTCCCCGATGGGGATGGGGATTGCAATGAGAATTTGGGGATGATGATGGGGATTGGGGTCCCATGTATTCCCCGCTCCCGTTGCCATCTCTAATTATAAAGAACATATTAAATGTGGATTTTTTGTTAATAGGGCAAAATATAGGTATTTTTTTTCAATTCATAATAATTTTTAACTTCAAGTTTTATGTATATTAAGATTAAGAGGTTGTTTGAGATTTCATTTTAAACCTCAAAATGACTTATTGATTTATGGTGATGAGAAAATAAATGTTTTAAGAAATATTTGGATTAACTTTTATAGTGAAAAAGTCAGTAAATCAATAAGTTGTTTTAAAAAAGTATCTGTCTTAACTTATACATGTTTTCATATTTCCAAGCATGTTTTCTTTTAATTTTTTGACTTTTTAAAAAGCTAATAAGTTGTTATCTACAATGCTAACCATTATAAAAATCCAAGAGAGAGAAAACTATATGACGTTTGTTGTTTAGATTTATAAAATCATAGGCATATTTGTATCGGCATAGTATATTGTAATTTATGTTCTATATAATTTAAGAATATTTATTGTTGAGTTATCACGAGAGTAGAGTTTCAATGTCATGTGGATAAGATTGATATATGGTAATAAATAAATACGATTTTTTTTGATTTTTAAGAGATGATAATAAATAAACACAACTTTTTAAATTAAATGTCTTAAATATTAAAGCCGATTAAAAGGAAGATCATACGGAGATAAAATTTCTTATCAAAATTTGATATGAAATATACATCCACAAACTAAGTATGTGGTTGAAATAGTGCATCTAATCGATAGAGAAGATGTAAAACAGTCTTCTCTAGAGATAGAAGTATTATTCTTGTGATAACTTAATAATAAGTATTCTTAGTTTATATAGAACATATATTAAAATAAACAACGTTGATATTAATATGCCTACGGTTTTAAAAAAATCCAAACATGAAACCTTATACGGTTTTTTTTTCTTTCTTAGATTTTCATAATGGTTACCAGTGTAGACAATGATTTATTAACTTTTTAAAAAGTCAATAAGCTAAAAAAAAAAGTGTTTGGTAATATAATATCATGCATAACTTAATATAAACACTTTTAAAAAACAACTTATTGATTTGCTGATTTTTCCCAGTACAAAAACTAATCCAAATACTTAAGGAAAAAAAAAAAACCTCATTTTTTCACCACCAAAAATCAATAAATCATTTTAAAGTTCAAGACAAAATCCCAAACACAATCTTAATGTAGATAAAACTTGAGCTTTAAATTATGCATTGAAAAGAAAAACATATATTTTATCCTACTAGCAAAAAAAAAAAAAAAAAACAATATTGGTATGTTGTTTACATTAACCATGGAAACCTATTATTTTTTTGTTGCAATCTGAAAATTGAACCCAATTGTAAGCAACAACCAGTTTTAAAGGTTTAACTGAAAAAAAGCAATAATAAAAATAATTTTTTAATAAAATCAAAAATTCTGAAAATTGAACCCAATTGTAAGCAACAACCAGTTTTAAAGGTTTAACTGAAAAAAAGCAATAATAAAAATAATTTTTTAATAAAATCAAAAATATAAAGACTTTCATGCTATTTTCTTTTATTATAAAAAAGAGATATCGTGAGTAGGGTTGTAAACGAACCGAACGAGACTTATTCGTGATCGTTTGTTTAATTTAACCAAACAAATTAACGAATACAAATGGTTAAACGAACAAATTTTCTTGTTCGTGTTCGTTCGTTTAACAAATTACATTGTTCATGTTCATTTGTTTATGTTTAAAACATGTTAAACGAACATAAACGATCAATGATAAACAAACATATATGAACACAAATGAACATATAATATAGTAATGTAATCAAACACAATTAAACATATATAAAGATAAAAGAAACTTATATGAACGAACATAAACAAACGTGAACGAATAACATAAACGAACGTTCACGAACATAATTGAATGGACGAGACAATTATTTATGTTCGTTAACTAAACGAATGAGAATTTTTGTTCGTGTTCGTTCATTTACTAAATAAACGAACACAAACAAACTTCATGCCGAATAGTTCACGAACAGTTCGTTGAAGGTTCAGTTCGTTTACGGTCGTAATCGCGAGGAAGAAAAAAAAAGCTGTTTCTTGTCTTAATAATAATCTGGATCAAGTAATTGATCAAACATATTGGGCTAGATTTGTAGAGTTGGGCTAATAATAATTAAAATATTAGCCATCAAAGATAACGACTTGGCTTCTCTTAATCTTTTAATCATTAATCCTAGAAGAGATGTAATCAACTTTTTGTTTCAACTTTATGGCGGTTAAAATTTTGGTTGATATGTTTTATCTGTCAATGTTACCGCCTATAATTGCACTACTTTTTTATGTATTTGGTAAGAAAATCAACACCAATGAACACATGAGAGTGGAGGATTGACTGGATCTTAGTGAATAACTACATATAAGTTAATGAAGTAATAACACAAACTGAAACACATAGATAAAAAATGATTTTTTTATTATTATTATGGTATTACAAATTTATAATGACCTCATAGATACAACGAAATCAACAATCTTAGTAAATTCATCAATAAATAAATAAATAAATAAAATTGAAGTGATGAACTCAAAAGAATAAATTAAAACATGACAAAAAACGACTCTCGTGGAAATCAACCCTCACTTATTCCACTATTTCCAAAATATCTTGTGGAAGTTAAAGAAAATAATTAAAATAAATAAATAAAATTGAAGAGATGAACTCAATATTCCAGCATCCTATTGAGAGGAAAAGTAGCTGACTCAATCCTTTGTCTTTTCATCTCCTCATAAAATCTCTCAATAAACCTCTCAGCCCTTTCATCTACTGAATCTTCTTCATGTTCTTCTTCTTCTTCTTCTTCTTCACATTCTCTCTCCACTTGGATAATGGCAGATTCAAACGAATAATTCTCATCCGCCATCACCCCATGATATCGCCCTCCAAAACACGAAAGAAAGCAAATCGAATACACCGGGACTCCATTTGTCTTGCGGCGATGAAAACGGATTAGGGGAGTGCTTGAAGGTGAGAACTGGTGTTCTTGAAGGAACCCATAGCTGTTGTAGTGCTTCAAAGACTTAAACTTGTTGAGTTTGGTTGATTTTTTGAGATAGATTAACCTCATTTTGGCTATGAAAATGGAGAGTTTGATGAGATTTGAAACTTTCTGCAACATGGGTATTCTTCTTTTACCCATTTTCTTGTTTGAAGAAGGAAAGAATGGAGATGATGATAGTCTATGTATTGAGTGGGAAGCTTGGGAGTTTTATACTGAACTGAAAATAGCGTCTTTCAAGTATGGAGTTATAAATGATATACTAAATCATGAGGTAGTGGGGCGGTCTAGGCTGTCAAAAGGTGTTTTTGCCTTTTTGGGAGATCAAATGGGAGGTTGGAAAGGTGGTGGGGAGATAGCCGTTAGGGTTCTTGCTTTCCAAGTTTTGAATTTTTGTACTTTTATTATATACCTTTCTATAATGTAACATGATTTTATTTTAATATTTTAGAAATAAATATTATTATAATTATTGTTATGAATTTATTATGTATATATTTATATTTCCATCGTTATATTGATCATATTATTTACATATATTTGTTTTCTTTTAAATACGACCATTGCAATATGCGAGTTTTATAGTATCTATTTTTAAGAATCATATTAGCACTTTGGACAACAAATTTAAAATGTGAGTTCCGTCTATATGAAAATCTTCAAATAAATGAAAATTAAAAATTTAAATACCCTTCTATGTGATAACTCAAATAAAAAATTTATAAATACATATATAATTCTACTATATTATTAAAATAATATAATGACCGATTAATTAGGAGTAATTGATTTTAATTAAAAAATAATGATGTTTAATCATAAAACCTGAATAATTAAATTCGAGCAAATGAAGGGGTTTCATCGGTTATAAACTTAGGCATTATATATAGTTTGAGAAATCGAATGAAAACCCTATAGGAATTGTAATAATAATAATATATATATAAAAAAAAAAAAAAAAAAAAAAAAAAACGATGAAGAAATGAAGGAGAAATCGAAGCTAAAAGTTCTTAAAATTTTCGGAGCTTTCTAACAAGTTAAGGGTGCAGATTAGCAATAAAGTTTCGGTTAGGACTTATTAGCTCTAAGGTGAGTTTCTTTTTCCGTGTTGTGTGGTTGCACGCACATAAATGTTTATCATGCGTTTATTATGTGACTTTTATTTATTTATTGACAGTATATTTTTGTTAAGTATGGTTGCGTACAAATGTTATTTTGGATTTGTTATCTATTGTGTATGTTTTTGGATGGATGTTTAGCAGGAACAGGTGGGTGTTTAATCGTCGTGAGCATGACAGATGTGTGTGATCGGTTGGGATGGGAATTGAGAATGATACTCATTTCCTTGGATATTTATAATACTTTAGTACAATGGATGGTGAGTTGTCTCAAGAAAAAGCGAAATGAACATTTGGTTTTCTCTCTAGATAATTAATTGTTCCCCTAAATTATGTCATCGGGTGATATGTTTGTTGTATGATTTATTGAAACTATATGACCAAACCTTTTGTTTTTTAAGTGATGGACATGTATGTGCAATACGAACTCACTAGGCCCTAGGCCTACCCTTTTAGAAACTTTAAATGTGCGCAACCCAGGAAACTATTTAAAAAGTGGCAGTAAAAAGGCTAGAGAGAAGGATTGATCAACAAGATGACAAAGGAGTTCCGTAAAGACGTAACACCCGAAGCTCTTCAGTTGAAGACTATATTTTATTTTATTTTATTTTGCTTCCGCTGTAGTTTAGTACATAAGTAAGTTCTTAATTGATCTTGGGAGATGTTGGAACATTTATTTGTTATATAATCTATATATGAAAATTGCGGTGTTACAAGTTGTTATTAGAGTGTTGTTTAAGCAGATTAGGTGTTTGCATAAACACTTAAGCTTGTAGATATCATGTCTTCAAGGAGATCTGGAAGGTTTGCTAGGGTCACCCCGAAAGAAGAACACATTCCAATTGGAGCTTATGTTAGAGCAGCTGGAGATGTACCGAAAATTCCAATGATCCTTAATGCGAGCTGTGGACGTGGCCAAGGAAGAGGAGGCAAGGGTAGAGGAAGGGGCGAGGAGCTATAACAGCACCGTTTGGCCAGGGTAGCTCCGGCTCCCACCGCGGTCGAGGTCGTGGAAGGGGTCGTGCGAAAATCATGATCACTAGAGAAGAGTTGGTTGATGAGATTGCTCGAGGGATACACGCTACCTTGTCAGATGTAGTTGCTCAGGCACGAGATGAAATAATGAGTGAGTATGAAGGTAACTCGGGCGGAGGTGAAGAAGACTATGAGTATAGTACACCAAATACAAATCCTGACCTAAGTATTGCACAACCCTCAAGGCATCATGACAACCATGAATGGCGGGGTTGTAGTTACAAGGCATTCATGAATTGTAAGCTGCCCGTATTCAATGTAGAAATTGATACCATTTTGTCATCAACATGGATCATGGAGATTGAGGGAACATTTAATACTAGCAAATGCGCAGATGAAGGTGATTTATGTTGTGACAATGTTAAAAGGAGAGGCTAGCTATTGGTGGGATATGGTGAAAGAAGTTAGGGTCGTGATGCGGCCAAGAGGATGACATGGGATGAGTTTACAAAAATATTCAAAGAAAGTTTTGTCCTCGAATGGCGTTCAAGCAGTTGGAAGAAGAATTCTTGACATTGGAACAAAGGAATATGACAGTGAGAGAGTACACTACTAAGTTCACCGAGAAAGCTAGATTTGTAGAGCTCTATGTGTCTACGGGGGAAAGGAGGGTTGAGAGGGATATTTGGGGACTAAAAACTACCATTTGTGAATTTGTAGAAATTTAGAAACCAAGTACCTTCCAATCTGCTATAGACGTCGCAGAAGGCCGAGAGCGCGAAAAGAATCACCAGGGTGAGAATAAGGATTCAAGAAAAAGGAAGTTGGAAAGTTCAAATACAGACTCAAAGAAAGGAAAGACTTCTGGTTTAGATCGCAACTATGAGCAACAGTCTGGGAAAGAACGATGTACTGTGTGCAAACGCTTCCATGAAGGGGAGTGTAATATAAACCAAAGAACTTGCTACAAATGTGGAAAGGTAGGACATATCGCTTCAGATTGTAAAGTAGGGAAAGTATGTTATGGGTGTGAGTCCCCAGATCACATCAGGTCAAACTGTCCTCAGAATAAGGGAAACATTAACCAACACATGATGACAGAGAAATGGAATCGTTCGGGAGATGAAAAGGCAGAAACAACAAGAACAAAAGGAAGAGTTTTCTATATGACAACTCAGGAATCTCAGGATACCCCGATAAAGTGGCATGTACTTTCTTAGTAAACTCTATATTATGGGTGTTATTGAATGTCGATGAAAACATTTTTGTTTTTACTTTTTGTAAGTGCCTAAATATTGGTGCAAAGGCTTTTAGAAATAAAGATTGATGATGATCATTTTGTAGTCATAAGAAAGAAATTTAATGATTGATTGAATAAAATAGATAATTATTTAGCATCACTAAATTTAGAACCTGTAGCACTATGAGATTTTGATAGAATGAAGTGGTTGTCAAAAAAAAAAGCTAACATAGATTGTAATAAGAGAACTATTAGGTGTAGGTACCACATAGGGGAACATTATATTGTATGTGTACCATTTGTAAGGGAGTTCTCAAGAGTCCTATTGGTTAGCACCAACAAGGATGAGGGGGTTTATTTAATAGTTGCAGGACGTGCTTGAAAAGGATGGGACGTTGTAGATGTCCATGGATTACCAAGATTAAAAGAAGGTGTAAGATCTTTACGGATTATGGAAGGTTAATATTTTCACTTATACATTAAGTCATAAGCAAAGGAAGGAAATCAAGTAAGATTCAAAACGATAAGAATTGATGTAACTGTTAGTTTACTGGGTGGTCCGAAGAAGAGTCAGAAAGAATCCATGGTAGAGGATAAGTAGAAAGTTTGTAGATTTGTTTAACTGGTGTATGATGACACACTTAGTGGGAACATGGGTGTATGAAAGTCGAGAACATAACGGGTGTGTTGTGACCGAAGGGGATAGGATTTGAGATGTTACTCATTTCTTTGGATATTTAAATTGCTTGAGCATAATGGATGTGTTGTGCCAAGTGGGAAAGGAAGTGGACCATTGGTTCTTTCTCTAGATATCTAAAATGTTTTCTTTAAATTGTGTCATTGGGGGAAATATACTTGGTGAAATTTTGGTTAAGTTGTATGGTATGAAGTGTACCACTATGTTGATTTGATTTAAAGGAGAAACAAATGGTTGGAATTAAGCTTGTCCAAAAAACTACCTGAAAAATTCAGTAAATTACGGATAACTGGTGGATGTACACGAACAACCAAAATGTTAGGTGGTTAAACGAAGGAATTTAATAGTGTTTCAGGTGGAGAAAAATTCATATTGAACGGATTCTCTTGGAAAGAAATGGTGCAGTTTTGTAAAGGTAGAGTCTCCGACCTATTAGACCTCCTTGTGATTAACGAATGAGCTGTAGAGGTGATTAATTTATTAGAGATACCAAAGAATCGAATGCAACATTAGAAAGCGAACAAGATATGAAGACCAATACCCATATTTGTTTACTGAATACAAATTTCGAGGACAAAAATTTTCAAATGGGGGAAGTTAGTGATAACTCAAATAAAAAAAAAACTTATAAATACATATATAATTCTACTATATTATTGAAATAATATATTGGGTGATTAATTAGGAGTAATTGACTTTAATTAAGAAAAATAATGATGCTTAATCACAAAACCCTTCACCTTCAATAGAAGAATTAAATTCAAGAAAATAAAGCGGTTTCATCAGTTATAAACTTAGGCATTATATATAGCTTGAGGAATCGAATGAAAACCCCATAGGAAATGCAAAAAAAGGCAAAGAAACGAAGGAGAAATCGGAGCTAAAAGTTCTTAAAATTTTCAGAGCTTTCTAGCAAGTTAAGGGTGCAGATTAGCAATAAAGCTTCGGTTAGGACTTATCAGCTCTAAGATGAGTTTCTTTTTCTGTGTTCTGTGGTTGTTCGCACATAAATGTTTATCATGCATTTATTATATGGTTTTATTTATTTATTGACAATATGTTTTTGATAAGTATGGTTGCGTACAAATGTTATTTTGGATTTGTTATCTAT